AGAATAACTTTTGCTGCTAAATTATCCACTAACCTAGTTTACAATAGTATTTTTGTTATAGATTGATTATATATATTTTTTTATTTGTTATTTTTCATTAAAATGAAGTTGTCTATATTTAGTAGATTGTGTTTAACACAAAAAAGAGTGAAGATCAGGTCAACCCACAGAAGTATAGAAATTCTACACTGATTGAAAAAAAAAAAACTGCGCTGGGATCGGAATCGACCGATACTCCGAATTTTTGGGATCGGATCAGATCTGAAAAAATGGCATCGTTGCACCCCTAGTGTTGATTTATAAATTTTAAACTAAGACTTATTATTGTTGCCCCCCCCCCTAAAAATACAGTTTGTTTATCATCATGTCAGTAAAGCTTGTTTGAATCTCTTTGAATGCTACAAAAGAGAGTGTGTGCGTATGTGTTGTAGGCCACTTGTCCGATTGAATATCTCCACCACAGAATATTGTCTTTATCCTCAAATCTGTATTTCCTCAGTAGTTTCCTGCAGAAATCAACAGCTTCTGTTCTTTCTCAGGAGTGCGAGCGCGAGGAGCTCTGCCGCTTCGCTTTACTCCGCAGACGCAGTCATTAAATCCTGGCGAGAGCGTTCACGAGCTGCATGTGTGAACTGCATCGATCTCGTTGTGACAGATGCTCAGACGCTCTGAAATATCCTGATTTCACCATTACAGAAGCTGGTTTGTCTGGCAGGGAGAGCCGATCAATAAAGCGGAGATGAGAAATATAGATGGACTGGTGCGACTGCAAGCACTTTTAAAGTTAAACGCTCCTGCTGACTTTAATTTTATAAGATGTGTTGTAGTTTTGCTTCCATATTACGTGTCTAAAACGTATAAAGTGAATAAGATAGTCTTCTCCAGCTCATCTTTTCACATAAACAATGAAAAACCATAAAAATTTTAATTTGGCCCCTTCATTCAAGTGTTTGGGTTCACACATGCGCAGATCAGCGGCTCATCGGTTTTCGGTTCGAGTCGAACTGTTTCTTCAGTTCAGTTACTGTTGGAAGAAACTGAAGTGCTGAATCAGTTCATTCATCACCGGATCAGATATACGGCGGTATTTCGACTCATTTCCAGTCTGAGTGACTGTCAGGCGTCTGAAAGTGAGTTTAGATTGAGTAGATCTGTGCTGCCTGAGCCGCGAACTGTTTCAGATGATTCAGTCCGATTTGGTTCATCTAGTTCACCAAAAAGAACCGGTTCAAAAAAATGATTCGTTCGTGAACTCCGGACCATTTATCTGAGGCTGATAATGCCTGATACACCTGGTAATGCTGTAAATAATGTTCAGTTTCTTGCACAGACCGATCGTTTCGCTTCATAAGACTTCAATATATCATCAGGAGTCATGGGGATTTTGTGGTGCCTGATATGACTCTCAGAGTGCCGGTAGCCATTGACTTACATTTTATGAATCACCAATGATCACAGTTTCAGCTAAAAATCTTCTTTTCTGTTCAACTTAAAAAAAAAGTCACTTACATCATGGATGGGCTTAGGGTGAGTAAATTTCATTTTTGGGTGAACTATAAACCGGACATTGAATGAGGGATCGTCCAGCAGGACATACAGTCATCAGATCTCTGTTAAGACTCTTATGTTTCATTCAGAACAAATCAGACGCGCTCGTTTTCTCAGACGCTTGCAGAAAAAGGCTCACCAAAACAAAGTTACCGGGTTAATCTTTTTCACGTTTCCTTGGTTGGTAGATGCACCGGGACCTGATTATAGCACTTAAAACCTGGAAAAGTCCGATTTTCATGATATGTCACCTTTAATTAAATAGGCCATGTTACATTCATTTTAAATATATTTATCAGTAATGTAATGCAATATTTTGTATAATATATTAGTGATGTATTATGTATTATTTAAACATCAAAACATTATTTAAATAATAAATTATAAATATTTTTACAATTATATTTTTAAAATATACTTTTTATAATTATATAATAATTAATGCATTTATTTATTACACATAATTCATGAAATATAATGTAATATAGATTATATTAATAATCAATGTTTGGAGAGCCCTATAGGTTCAGTGTTATTTTAGTGTCATTGAGAGACTATATATTTTGAATATATTTTATATATATATATTCTGTTTTAATTTTAAAGTTTTTGCCATTTAAGTAGTTTATATATATATATATTTTATATATATACTTTTTTTCTCGGATTTGTCATTACATAACTCAAATTCAAAATCAGAGTTCAAAATCAGGGTATGCCAATGAACAAATGCTGATCTGTGCTTTTTTGCTTTTTAAATGCTGTCTGAATTTATTAATTGATTTGCCCAATAATTCAATCAGCAAAGAGACATAGTGTGCCAAAGCAATATGAGACAGTATGCACAGAAATTGTTGCAGAAAGTTGTTCTTGCATGAAAACATGTGCAAACAAAATAAACAGAAGTTTGATTTTATTTAGCTTAGTTTTGGCCTGTGGCCTGAAGCTTTAAGTCCTCTCTATTGGAGTTTTTAATGGTAATTGTTATCATGAGATGCAGGCAGTGGGTTTGATGGGCGATTTAGCAGCAGGAGTAAATGCTCTGTTCCTCCAGAGTCTCTCAGGTCTCCTCCAGCGGTAATCGTTTACAGTAAATAATGCTCAGTGTTTAGTGACCGTGGTACAGTCTCTGGAGTCTGTAACAGCGGTCTGGCTGTAATGAGAGAGGAGGGCAGGTGTCGAGTTTCTGCTGCGCTTTTGTCTGTCTAAAGCAGGTTTTGTGTACCTGGCACAGGTGAACATCATTGATTCACTCTGCTTTAGCCAGCTATTATTCTGATAAATCAGTCTAATCCTCAACTATATGCATTTCAGGCCTTCTTGGTGTTCTTTAGGGATGGAATTTATGTTAACATGTAAATGTAATGATTCTGAATTATTCAGATTCATCTTAAAGATTGGATGAGGTCAGTCAAATGTGTGTTTGTTTGAGTGACTGATAACTTGATCGCACTCTTGCATGTTGCATAACCTGTAACTGTGCGTGATTATATGGCTAGATACATTGTATTAAATGCATTTTGCATAGTTTTTACGTTCTGTATGTGACCCGCTAATGCAGGGTTTCCCAAACGGGGGTTCATGAGTTGATTTAAAAACAAAAAAAATTAATTTGCAAAACATTTATTATTATTAATAATAATTGAAAATGTAAAACAATCACAATTAATCAAAATAAAAAAATTTTAATAATGAGGTGGTTGTTGTTGTTGTTGGTAGTAGTATTTATTTAAACGTAAACTTAAAACAACACAGCTAATCTGCACCATTAATCAAAATTAAATTAATATGAACAATAAATCGAAAGAAAGCTTTTTTAATAATGCAATTATTATCTCATTATTGAAATAGTTTTTTCAATTAATCCTGCAGCCTTTTTACATTTAAATAATAATAATAATAATATCTCATTAAAAGATTTCAGTTTCATTTCCATTAAAAAAAATTACATTTAATTTTAATAATAATAATGTTAAAGTATTAGCTTAAAATCTCAAGGGGTACAAAGTAAATATTTTATGCGTAAGAGATTCAACGTTTCAAGTCGCCTAGATGAAGCTAAAGTAATTCTTTGTAAAACAGCAGATATTCTATAATATTCTGCTTTTGCCAGTTTTATTTATATAGCACTTTTCGCACTGGATATTGTTTCAAAGCAGCTTTATAAAAATTGCATTAACTTACAAATCCTGTAAGGTCCTCGTCTAGCAGTCTTTATATTTGTCTTGACTGTGAAAGATGTCACCAGCGTCTCCTGTTCCTCAATAGCACGTTTATGCACGCAGCACATGTCGCATTCAGCCGACTGCTAAATTTTGTCACGAGGTGCTCACGGCTCGATGCTGTCACACGACGCTGCCAGTGAATCATATCATTGAGTGTGTTCAGGGTTCAGCTGTGTTTAGACCAGACAAACCCTCTGCATTGTGTCTAGAGCTCAGCTGATCATCTATTTCTTCTGGGATTCACATGCATTTCAGAAACGAGCTTGTGTGTGTGTGTGTGATTGCATCTCCTAAGGGATTAACACACACACACACACACACAGATGCTGGTTGTCTTTTTTAAGCTCTTTATCGCGCTCCTGCTGTGTCCGTCCCAGAGAAACACCCGGACACGTTGAAGATTGCGTCGTTTTTCCAGCCAGTTTCCTGGAAAGAACAAGGCTTTTGAGTCCTTTTTATGCCGAATTATAACATGGATGTGTGTGCATGCAGCGCTCATTTCATCACTGTATATGTTAAAGTGCCCCTATTATGGTTATGAAAGGTTCATATTTTGGTTTTGGGAGTCCCCAACAACAGGTTGACATGCATGCAAGGTCAAAAAACACTTTCGTTATCTTAAAATATGCATTTATTTTTACCTTACTTACGACTCCCTCCTTTGTGTGACGCTAATCTGCGGTGATTGGTCCGATTGGATCTCGCCTGTAATGCCTGAATAAAGCAGCCTTTGAGCGCAGTGCTGCTTGTGTACAGCGTTACCGGGGAAACCGCTATTTTACCGCTCCAAAAGCGACACCTAGTGGCAAAGAATGAATGTGCATTTTCATTCAGACCAAAGCGAAAAGACCAACAAGTGGGTGGGCAATATGCTAATGTTTCATGTTGACGTCAACATGAAACGGCTTGGGATTCGTTTTAAAAAGACTTGTTTCAATGATTCAGAGTCACCTCTTTCTTTTGAGAGACAATTTTATACACGGTGCACTTTCAGATTTAAAACTTTGCAGGATGTTTTCATATTGTATTATTTTCTTTAATATCATGTGCATTAATAATGAACTCAAGTTTTTTGTTGTTTTTTTCCCCCCCAAACTTTTTTCTCTATTTTTTCTCTTATAATTAAGAGCTCAAGTTGTGGCCATAAACTGTACGCCTTTGAAAGATTTCTAGAGACCCTAAACGCAATGTGAACTCATGTAATTTTGCTTCATTTTGTCTTCACAGGTTTCAAGTGCCCCGTCTGCTCCAAGTTTATCTCTTCAGATGAAATGGACCTTCATCTGGTCATGTGCTTGACAAAACCTCGAGTGACGTACAACGGTGAGTGTTTGTGTTTTCCTCTGTGTGTTGCGGTTGCCCTGTAAAGACAGAAAGGCATACACAATGCTGTAATTATCTCTTCTCATGGCATGTTAAGACCAGGCAGATGCCTCTTAGAATCAGGTTTGCTGATTTGTTGCATTGCATTCATGTTCAAACATCGGATTTTCCAGCAGAAACATGCAGTGAAGTGCTTTATTTAGTCACCTGAATCAAAGCTTTGGTGTTTGTGCAGTGAAAATGCTGAGCTTGTGTTTTATGGAGTGTCTAGCAACTTTAATGTGTTTACCGTGTTTGTTACGTCAGGTAATTCTTGTGATGATTCGCAGACATTAGGCAACTCATGTCTGATATTAGGTGATGTAGGTCTGCACAATAAAAATATTATACCTCTTTATTTCACGCCTTTTAATGATGTTCAACATTTATATTTGAGCATTTTCTCAAAATATTTTAAAGAGTCAATTTTTTTCCCATTTACTCTAAAGAACTTAAAAGGTTGATGATGATGATTCATAATAATAATACTAATAATATTAATATATTTAGACATTTCCTCAAATGACTTAAAAGAGTGATATTTATTATTAAATTATAAAAAATTATAATTTTCTCAAAGTGATTTTTATTATTAAATTTTTTTTAATCATCATTTTTAAATTATTATTAAAAATGCATTTTCTCTAAAAGTAATATTATAATATTAGCAGTAGTAATATTTAGATTTGTGTATTTCCTCAAAATGGATGTAAAAGAGTGATAGTATTTTTTTTATTAAATGTAATATTTAGTAGTAGTAGTAGTGTTAAATTTTATATTTTGTGCATTTCTTCAAAACACTTAGTGATTTTTTTTATTGTTGTTGTTGTTATAAATATTATTATATTTGTGCATTTCATCAAATGACTTAAAAATGATATTTATTAATAAATTATTAAAATTTTGCTATTTCCCTAAAAGTGATTTTTATTATTATTAAATTTGTATTGTTATTGTGTGATTAGTAGTAGTAGTAGTAATATTTGGATTTGTGTATTTACTCTAAAAGGACTTAAAAGATTAATGTTTTATTATTATTATTTGTCAAGATGAGGAAAGATTGTGAGACTATTTTAATGACATGCTCTTTAGGAAACTTAATGAGCAAATTAACATTTTTCCAAGTACAATTAAAACCCATGTTGCTTAATTTTATATCACCAGCAAAATTATCGTAAATATTTTACTAACATTTAATTATATCTGCTCTGGCATTTTGAGTGGAATTTGTTTAAAATATTTATTGTGATTTTAGTCGAGCCAGTCTGAGTCTTTGGTGGTTTAGTCCTGGTTTTGCTCTGTCTGTTATGAGTCTGAATCGGAGTGTTTGGATGGATGTCAGTTGTAAATGGGGCTTGTTTATCAAGTTGCATTTAGGAGCATCAGTGCGACTGACCCGATCAGCATATTTGTTCTCACTCAGGGAAGCCTCAAAGGTTACTACTTGCTTGTTTTTGCAGCGTTGAGTAATGTATCACAGACATATGTTGATTCCTTGAATGCAATGTTAATCAGAATCCACTCGCTGCTCAAAATACGAGAGTTTTGTTCATTGCTGAGTTCTGCAAGCTCACAAATCCTCTTGTTATAACAAACAAAGTGTAGACAGTGTAAATAAGAGATTCGTTGTGCAGTGTAGAGTTTCATTGATTAATGCAACTTTGTGAGATCGCGATGAACTGAAGCGAGTGACCGCTTTTAAAGATTATTAAGGGAGTTTGCAAATGGGATATTAAATTAATACAACAGTTCAATAAACAAGAAGTTAATATTAAGTGGCGTACATTGTATGATTTTAACAATATTGTCTTATTTTGCTCTGTTTCGTCAACGAAAATAGTTTCAAACAAAGTTACAGCCGAGCCGCTGCGAATCTTCAAGCAAACAAAGTGGTGTTTCGTTTATGAATGAATGTGCGTTTTTAAATGAATCTAGTGAGTCAATGATTCAATTACCCATTCAAGACAGTCACTTGCTTCGTTCCTGAATGAATCAGTCGTTCAAACGAGTCAATTGAATTAATGATTCAGTGATAAAATCAGTGACTTGCCGCCACCTGCTGGCAGTTTTATTTTTATTTTTTTTAAAGTATAATTTCAGTTATTTAAATAATTTCAATCAAACAATAGTTGTATATTCAAAATTTTATATTTAAAACATTCTCACAACATTATGAATTTAAAACATCCATGCCACTTCTGAGCCTCTGTAAATGTCTGTAAGTTTACCTACATGCCACTTTTCTGTTCTTCTGTGCCACCTTTGTAGTGGAATTTTGTTAATATTGATTTCTTAGCTTATAAATATAGATTTGAATTTGACATATGACATACTTCTAATAAAGTTGCAAAAACAATGCCCCTGTAAATCACTTTGAGTCAAATATTACCTTGTAATGGAAAGTAGGGCTGTCAAAATGGCTGAAAAACTACATTATTTTGTGTATTTGGTGTAATGAAATGTGTTTAAAGTAAAAAATTTTTACAAAGCCCATTGGTCTGAAAAGCAAGGTGTGCTGTGATTGGCCAGCTATCCAGTGCGTTGTGATTGGCCGAATTCCTCAAGCGTGTGACGGAAATGTTACGTCCCTCACTATACTGTGATGCCTGCGGCAACCACATCTGACGACCCCGGGCTGGACTCCGCTTCGTCCACGGTGAAAGCTGATCTGGTGATCCACAGCGAAGTTGATGTATTTCCTCAGCGACCAGCACGGATCAGCTCCAGGCATGACGAAGCAGATATCGTCCTCTTTTGAAAGGCCAACCAAAGTAGTTTCACTTTCACAACGAATCACACAGTGCCTTCCCGACATGGCGGCGGCAACAACAATACTACAGTGAGAATAAAAGTTACGCCTTCTTTCTTTTCGTGAACATTTGGGCGGCGCTATGCAAATCTTCCCACATCGTGACGTAGACATGTGGGGACGTGTTAGAACGAGCCGTTTTAGGTAGGCGTGGCTGACTCTTAACTTTTATAAAGAATATCTCTTTGGCTTTGAGACTTTAGTCTTTGCAACTTTACAGATCTTCTTTATGCACCAAGAGCTTGTAACACTCCAAAGAGAAAGGAAAAATTGAAATCGCATCATATGACCCCTTTAAATATTATCAATATTCGAATTATATTCGAATTTAAAAGGCATAATTTCAGTTCTCTCCTGAGGCCACAAGCGAGCGCATAGAGCAAAATATTACAAATGCACGTTTCTTCAAAGCATAATAAAATAACACTATCTTTGAAAAAAGTGCATAATGTTTAAAATAATGTTTATAAAACATATATAATTAATAAAGTTGCTTAAAGGGTTCATATGATGCTTTTTTTTAAAGATCATTATTTTGTGTATTTGGTGTAACAGAATATGTTGACATGCTTTAATGTTCAAAAAACACATTATTTTTCAAATACTGTACATTATTGTAGGTCCTCTATGCCCCGTCTCTCTCAAACGCTTCGTTTTCTACAAAGTCCCTCCTTCCGACAAGCGCAGTCTGCTCTGATTGGCCAGCTGACCCAGTGCATTGTGATTGGCCGAACACCGCAAGCACTCGTCGGAAATGTAACGCCCCTTACCATAATCGCGAGCTTCATCTTTCAAAATAAATGTAAAGACAGAGCCTGAAAGGGGAACAGAGTCTCGTGACAGACACAGTGATGAATATGTGTTTGCAGTACACAAGCCAGAGCTGGTAGCGTCATTGTTTCTAAAGGAATTAAAGCCACAGCTTTACTGTTAATAGAGAAACGCAGCAAAACGGTGGTAATTCATACATGCACAGCCTCTCTCTCTCTCTGTGTCGTAAATGAAAAATTGATGAATTACACTTTTCTGAGAATAGATTATTGAAGTGGAGATCGCTAAACTGCAAGCTAAACGCTGTTTTCAGAAAGCAAGCACGTTTATCCACAGTGGAGAGAGAGCGCGTGTGCACAAGGTTGCCAGGTTGACAAAGATAAGTAACACACTTAGCAGATATTTCCGTATTGCGCAAGTGTGAAGCTCTGTTTTGGGGATTACATCTCTTATATCAGGCAACCCAGTTGTGTTCCTCTGCGGCCAGATTAAACCTTGTTGTAGCCTATTCAGTGGGTACGGAAAGTATTCAGACCCCCTTAAATTTTTCACTCTTTGTTATATTGCAGCCATTTGCTAAAATCATTTAAGTTAATTTTTTTTCCTCATTAATGTACACACAGCACCCCATATTGACAGAAAAACACAGCATTGTTGACATTTTTGCAGATTTATTAAAAAAGAAAAACTGAAATATCACATGTTCCTAAGTATTCAGACCCTTTGCTCAGTATTTAGTAGAAGCACCCTTTTGATCTAATACAGTCATGAGTCTTTTTGGGAAAGATGCAACAAGTTTTTCACATCTGGATTTGGGGATCCTCTGCCATTCTTCCTTGCAGATCCTCTCCAGTTCTGTCAGGTTGGATGGTAAACGTTGGTGGACAGCCATTTTTAGGTCTCTCCAGAGATGCTCCATTGGGTTTAAGTCAGGGCTCTGGCTGGGCCATTCAAGAACAGTCACAGAGTTGTTGTGAAGCCACTCCTTCGTTATTTTAGCTGTGTGCTTAGGGTCATTGTCTTGTTGGAAGGTAAACCTTTGGCCCAGTCTGAGGTCCTGAGCACTCTGGAGAAGGTTTTCGTTTAGGATATCCCTGTACTTGGCCGCATTCATCTTTCCCTTGATTGCAACCAGTCGTCCTGTCCCTGCAGCTGAAAAACACCCCCACAGCATGATGCTGCCACCACCATGCTTCACTGTTGGGACTGTATTGGACAGGTGATGAGCAGTGCCTGGTTTTCTCCACACATACCGCTTAGAATTAAGGCCAAAAGTTCTATCTTGGTCTCATCAGACCAGATAATCTTATTTCTCACCATCTTGGAGTCCTTCAGGTGTTTTTTCATGTGTCTTGCACTGAGGAGAGGCTTCCGTCGGGCC